ATTGTTCTTTTGAGTTCCATGTCCTGTGTTATCTCTAGGAGGTTCTTACTGTAGTCCTCTACAGGACTTTGTGGTGATATTTTGGTTTTTCATGTTATTATCCAGTTGAGAGCAACTTTTCTTTTGTAGTTTCTGATTCTTTTGTGAGACTCAAACTTTCAAGTTTAGGTCTGCTTCTTTTTGTAAACTTTATGTGCCTTTGTGGTTGACTTTTTGGGCATGAAAAGCTGGTTCCTCTAAGCTGCGGTTCTCTCTTTTGATTTTATATTGGAGTGGCCAGATTGCTTTTCTCTTCAGGATTTCACACAGAGGCCCAAATCAGATGAGGATCAGATGCTCTCAGGCTTTCTAGTAAGGTCTGGATTCCTCCAGGAAAGATTCTGCCCTCAGGAATTTGGGGACTGGGCTGGCCTGGGAGCAGGGCCCATGAAAGATCCTGGTCTCAGGAAGCTGGTGGCTCTGCCACCAAGGAATGCAAAGGGAGGTGGAGGTGAGAAGAGGCTGAGGGCTCCTGGGGACTACTGGGAAGAACTGCATTGGTCTGGATGAAAAGGATCAGGAAGCAGTGGGGATTCTGGGCCAAGAGGTCAGCCCAGGTGTCTGGGGTGCCAAGAGAAGAATCTGGCCAGGGCCAAGGCTAGGAGGAGAGATCGGGCAGGGAAGCTGGGGGGGGTGAATGAGGCTGGGGGAGTCAAGGCACAGTGGGCAACCTGTGTGACCCACCCAGGAAAGATGCTAGCACCAGGAAGCTGCTGGCTGAGCCGCCCAGGGAAGCAAAGGTAGGGAGTGGCAGGACCAGGCGCAGGGTCCTCCTGGGGATTGCAGGGAGGAACTGGTTTGGTCTGGATGCAAAACATCAGGAAGCAGTGGGGACTCTGGGCCAAGTCATCAGCTCCAGTGTCTGGGTTCTCAAGACAAGAAATGGGCTAGTACCTAGGCTAGGAGGAGAGATAGGGTGGGGAAGCTGGGAGGGTGACTGAGGCTGGGGGAGTCAAGGCAGAGTGGGCCGCCACTGGACTTACCCAGGAAAAATGCTGGTACCAGGAAGCCAGGCGGCTGTGCAGCCAGGGAAGTAAAGTTAGGTGGGGCAGACATATTCTATGTTTATCCATACCTATTTAACAGCTATTAGAGTCTCAATGTTTCTACAGACACAGACACACACACAGACACACAGACACACACATGTATGAATACACATATACTTATTCAAAGAAACTCTTTGATATGGCATACTCATGTTTCTCCACAGTCTCAAATTCTATTACAACTCAGGGGCTGCTAATAAGGGTAGAATAGTGTTTCAGTAGTTTGGTCTTCTCCTATATCAGTTTCTTGCAGACAACAAAAAGATGGGTTTTGTTTCTTAATCCATTCAAATCATCTGTGTCTTTTGACTGGGGAGTTCAGTTAATTCCTTTGTTGACTTTAGGTCTGCTTCTTTTTGTAAACTTTATGTGCCTTTGTGGTTTACTTGTTAGGCATGAAAAGTTGGTTGGTCTAGCCTTCAGGTTCTCCTTTTGATTTTATATTGGAGTGGCTAAATTGCTTTGTTTTCAGGATTTCACACAGAGGCCCAAATCAGATGAGGATCAGATGCTCTCAGGCTTTCTAGTAAGGTCTGGATTCCTCCAGGAAAGATGCTGCCCTCAGGAATTTGGGGACTGGGCTGGCCTGGGAGCAGGGCCCATGAAAGATCCTGGTCTCAGGAAGCTGGTGGCTCTGCCACCAAGGAATGCAAAGGGAGGTGGAGGTGAGAAGAGGCTGAGGGCTCCTGGGGACTACTGGGAAGAACTGCATTGGTCTGGATGAAAAGGATCAGGAAGCAGTGGGGATTCTGGGCCAAGAGGTCAGCCCAGGTGTCTGGGGTGCCAAGAG